ATTTACTACAGACTTGTTATTCTGTAATATGTGATTATTATACCATTTAATTCTTGTAAGAACTCTTATGAGGTAGATAGATACCCATCTTATCTTCATTTTACAGAGAAAGAAACTGAGACTAGAAAAGTTAAGTAATGGTTCCGGGATACAACTATTGAGGGGCAGAGCAAGGATTCAAAGGAAGGTCATTCTGACTCTGGAGTTCCAGCTCTCAGCAATTACTTATCTCTCTGGTATGGGAAAGGTCCCAGCTTCCCATAAGAATCATAAACAGATGCCTTCCTTGCAGTTTCTGGGCCTCCAAAGATACTTGGCAACATTAGGAATATTTACTCTAGATGAATTTTTAAACTTTAGGGTACACTGGAGTCACATGGGTGGCTTGTTTGTACAGCCTGCTGAGAGTTTCTGACTTGGTAAGTCCAACATAGGGTTTCAGAATTTGCATTTTTAACAAGTTCCTAGGTATTGCTGGTACTCCTGTTCTGGAAATTGTACTTTAAGAATCACTGTCTAGTCACTGTAAATTAAAGTTCTCTAAGCCTCAATGCCTTAGTATTCTCTCCTACCTAATTATCTTTCACTGTTTAGTCCCAGATCCTCTGAGGCCTTGATCCATAAACTATAATGTTATCTTTGGCAGCTGTGTGCTTTGGGATTCCCTGAACACTTGAAGATAGAGAAATTGCATCTTACAGTTGTCCTTTGGTATCCATGGGGAATGGTTTCTAGGACCCTCATGGCCAAATCTGCAGATATTTAAGTCCCTTATATAAAATAGTGAAGTATTTGCATATGACTTATATACATCCTCCTGTGTACTTTAAATCACCTCTAGATGACTTTTAATACCTAATACAATGTAAATGCTATGTAAACAGTTGTTATAGTATATTGTTTGGGAGGAATGACAAGAAAAATGTATCTGCACATGTCCAGTATAGATGCACTTTTTTTTTCATTTTTTTTTTTCATCTGTGGTTGGATGTGGAACCTGAGGATATGGATGGCTGACTATATCTCCCACTCTAAAAGTAACTATTACCTTAAGTAAGTCTTGAGATCTCATGAAAGGTAGAAAGAGGACCCTAGAAAAACTAGCAGGAGATAGCAAAGATTCTGGCCCACTGTGGCCAGATCAGCTCCCTGGCAGGCAGGGACCATCTTTTTATAACCTCACAGGATTCTCTCTAGGAACTAATCACAAGAGAGTATTCATTAAAACCTCTTCAGGGCATTCACATTCAGAATGTTAAAAAGAGTTGTAAAGAGAGTGACTAGCCCTTTAATACTCTTTCTGACTGAAAAGGAGGCTGTAGCTATATTCTGTGCATTCCCTGTTTAGCTAATTTTCTTCCTTTGCTCAGTCTCATGAGAAGCTGAAAGAAAATAAGGGAGCCCATGATCCAGGTCTGCTCACACAAGAGGTAAGGCTGGAGAAAGGGGTCAGTAATCAGGATTAACCAGCTTAATGTCTGACGTATTCATCCTGCAGAAAACATCACCTGGTAATGCCTCCACTGATCCCTTCAGACTATGGCATCTTTATCCTAGGCTTTTACAGAGTGTAAAAATAAATCAACAGTTTAGTCATGAAGCAAAAGAATGAAAAGAGGAAAAAGCAACTTCAAGAAATACACATAAATGAGTACTGGAGCAAAAGGAGGCTCCACCCCCTTTATGCACATAGCCACAGCCCTCAGGAGTACCCTCACAAGTATCCATAGGAACACAGTAATGAGTGACTGGCTGGTCATGGGAAGGGCTCAAGCACAAGTGTAAGGATGCATTCGGAAGCAACCACACACTCACTATGAAGTACTAAGGACAAAAGAAACTAGACAGGCAGGCTGGGCCAAGTTTGGGGAACATTTTCCTTTTCTTTAGGCCACAACTAATACAACCTTTTTATTTCATCTCCAGAGGGGCTGCCGAGGGATAAATGGACTAAATAGATGTCAGGGAGATCCAGACTACCTCAGAGGACCTGTATCGGGGCCTACAAATGAGAACTATTGAATTCTGGCTATCAAGTTATCAATTAAGGCCATATCAGATTACACAAAAGTATTGCAGGGAAAAAAAAAGGAGTAATAAGATTAAATATTTATTAATGTTATATGTCAAGTCCTATGTTCAGCCTTTTTTTTTCTCTTTTTGGTCTTCATGGCAAATAAATAAGGTAGGTGCTATTCTTATTACAATCAATTTAAACAAAGGATAATTAAGAAAGTGTGAACTTAAGCAATTAGTCTATGCTCACCCATCAAGCAAGTTGGAATTCAACTCAGAACTGACACCAAATCGTCCTCTTAATCTTTATGCCATATTCCATCCAAACAGTGCAGAACCTATTTTGAGTCCTAAAATCTAGAAGTACCAAAAGGACAGGATAGAAGGCAGAGGAAAAGCCTTTTAATTTCAATTGTTGACGCAGAAGCATGTTGAAAAGTATGGTTAGATCACCACTGAGTAAACGGAAGACTTGACCTGTAGCCATCAAGGTTCATGAGGCCTGTGACTTCTGCGTCACCAGTAGGAAAGGTAAGCAATGGAGACCCATTCCCTACCTTCTGTCAAAAACATCCTTTTGAATCTGAAGGAGAGACCTAGGCCAGGTGTATGAAATAATCAATAGACAGTTCCTCTTTCCTATTTGCCTAGAAATATACACCAGCCAGCATCACGAATGAGAGGGAGTACGTATTCAAAATCAGTTCCTGCCTCAACAGGCTGACCTACAGTGCTCCTATGAGAAAAAAATAATAATAATGCTGAAATGAAAGCAGGATAGCAAGGCATGATTTCATGTGGCTGCTTTGATTGAGTAGCTCTCACTTTTCCAGATGCCTCCATATCCTGTAACATTTGGTAGTCTCAAACTTCTTTCTCCTACATCAATTCTTCACTTCAAATTGACATTGGGGTTGCAGATTTGTTCAATGAACTATTTTATGTTCTTCTCCTTGCCATCTGGCAGTATTAGCTCTCTAATAAATTGCTTCAACTTATGCATTTTTTCTGACAAAACTTACTTTCAGTTGAATTGTGCAACATTCATAAATAGCAAATGCTGGCTGATTATAATCAATGAAAGCCCTTTCAGTTGCCAGTAAAAATAGTTCCTTAGGTGCACATGTTATTTAGCCTAATTATTTGAAAGGCACCTGATTATCTTTGGAAACAATTTTTTACACATACATTCTTATGTCATTTGTTATGTATGTATATATGTACATTTGTTATGTATGTATATATGTACATATGTTATGTGTACATATTTGAATTCGGATGGACTCTTGCAAGACAGCCATTTTATGAAAATAACTCCAAGTTATATACACTTGGATTTGGAGCTAGACAAATTTGGGTTTGAATCCTACCTCTGCTACTTATAAGCTGTGTGAACTTATATATATATTTCATAACCTCTCTGCATCTCCAATATTTTTTTTAAATTAAAACAGATATAAAAATTAAAAAATTAAAACAGTTCCTTGCAAAATTGTCATGAGGAATAAATCAAACTAACATGTCATGTGCTTGGCACAGTGTCTAAGCATATTATGTCTTGATAATTAGTAACTACTATCATCATTGTGATGGTTTATTACTAGAAGATTATGGTAGACAAATTTAACAAGAAGAAACAGTATCTGCCTTGTTGCTGAAAACACAGGCTCTGGGGTTAGACTAACAATGGTTTAATTCTGTCTTCATTACTTATTAATTCTGTCACCTTGGAGATGTTACTTAAATCTACATGATCCTTGGTTTCCTCATTTGTAAGATGGGGGTAATAATAATTTTCATGAGAAATAAATGAATGTAATTCATACAAAAGTTTATCATTATGTTGGTCATAGAATAAATAATGAAAATTCACTACCATTATTAACTAGAGTATAATTATTAATTAGTTGGATAATTTAGTCTCTACCAATAGTAATCCTCCCTTTCTGAAAACAGCCATAGGGCTGGGCCTCCAAAGCCATATATAATATGCCTCCAAAGCCATATTTCATATATATATATATATATATATATATATATATATATATATATATATATTTTAAAAATCATTTATTTATTTATTTATTTTGGTACTAGGGATTAGACTCAGAGACACTTGGCCACTGAGTCACATCCCCAGCCCTATTTTGTATTTTATTTAGAGACAGGGTCTCACTGAGTTGCTTAGAGCTTCACTTTTGCTGAAGCTGGCTCTAAACTCACAATCCTCCTGTTTCAGCCTCCCAAGCTTCTGGGTTGGGCAAAAGCCATATTTTTTATCTTATGACACTGCGTTAGTAATTGGGCAAGAATAAGGAAATGTGAATTTAAGCAATTTTCCTTTATTTATTCATCCATTGACTGTTTTACCTAATGTGGCAGAATCTCTTTTTTTAATATGTATTTTTTAATTGTAATTGGACATAATACCTTTATTTATTTATTTATTTTTATGTGGTGCTGAGGATCGAACCCAGGTTCTCGCACATGCGAGGCTAGCACTCTGCTGCTGAGCCACAACCCCAGCCCCCGCCCCCCTACCTGGAGAATCTCTTTCCTAAAAGTTTAGATTAAGAACCAGTCCCCATTGATCCTCTAAATGAAAAAAATCGAGGTGGTCATGTTTGGCAGTGTGAATGCCAAGGTAATAAAATTCCGTCTGCAGGAGGATATTGCTGTGCAGGGAGAAGCAGATCTGGCATCTCTATGTGGCTAGGATGGCCTACGCATTTGAAAGGTATCAGATCATTTTTTGAAAGAATTTCATTACACACACACACACACACACACACTCATGCTGTTTTTAACTCTTAACAAATAATAAGTATAAAATCAAAATAATTATGTATGTATAGAAATCAATATTTTCCCCAAAGGAAAGAAAGAATCAAAAAGGAGTCATCAACATTCTTGGTCTTACAAAAATTGGTCATTTGATTGTTTTCCAGAAACCAAACAGGAATATAGAGATCTCAGCTCTTTACCTGGTGTTGCACTGGATACCGTTGGCCACTGCTGATCAGGCCCTCCTGGACCAGCCCGTAGAATGCCAGCCTCCTCCAGGTGCACAGAGCTGAATAAACATATGGACCCAAATATATGTTAGATATGTTAGCACAAATGTCTTTCTCCTTCCACTTTGGAAACTGCTTACATCTATGGAGGCAGGGCTGCAACTAACACATTCTTCTCAAGCTTGAACTGCAGCAATTATTGCTGAGCAGTCACCTTACATAAACTGCATAATCATCACTGACTTACTTCCTGCTGTACCACACTGGCAATAAATATGCTCTATCTTTATGGGAATTTTGGTTTTCATTAATGCCATGTGGTACTCACTAAATCTAACAGGAGAACCACTGGATGGCTAATGGCATTTTAACATTTTAATGCTGAAGCAGATGAGGAGAGCTTGTTCTCAAGGATGCCAATCCTCCCTTGTAGGTTCTCTTGTTTCTGGGATCTCTATAGTAAAGAGGAAAAAAAATACTAAAAAAATACTAAAATTATTTGCTGAAACTGTAATATTATACAAAAATTGGTTATTTGATTGATTAATATGGTAGTATTAACATTTTGTCCAAAGCAGAGAGAGAACAAAAACTGTCCAAGGATAGAAAGAACATTGCATTTATGTGTGTGTACTGCTAATGCATATTAGACCTTCAAATATGTGTGGATGAATGAATGAAGGACAGAATAAACAGGAAAGATCTTAAGAGTCAATATCCAACTAGACTCTCACCAAAATGAGAGGACACTTCTTAACTAGACATTTGTTTATCTTGCAAATTAAATAACTAAAACAAAACTTAGACTACTGGCTGAGGGATTATGTGACGCAACAGATCAGGCAAACTTTAATTATTATGAGGAAAGGCAACTATAAGTTCAAGGCTCTCTTACTCTCTTACTTCAAACAACATATCTAGTATAAATTTATTCATTAAGCTCTGACCTTCACCTTCAACTACTATTCCCTTTATCTTCAACCTAGAATTTCCTTTTTTGTATAAATATAATCTTCAGATGTTTTGGGATCTTACCAACAATTATATGGACTCAATCAGATTCATAAATTTGTAACTATCCTGGAACCAGTTCTGCTCAAAGAAGAATTTTCAGAAGAGCAGTTACATGATATTTGAGGCTGGAAAGGCCAAGAGGTCAAACACATGTATTGAAAAAAATGAGTATCATTTAAATTTACAACTCTAATATGTGTTCAATGTACTATACTATTTCATTTCTTCTATTTAAATCTTATAATATCTTAATTGAAATCTAAATAGGAGAATATTTGGCTTTTTTTTCATTTGAAAGTAGAACAAGGATATAATATGTTTTAATATTGTATTTTAAATGTAGTTTTTAAGGTGCATCTCATAGTTTGGGTACTTTTCAAGCAAAGCACTAATTCAATTTCAAGAGTAAGAGTCAGTACTTTAAACATGTTTTTATCTATTGTGTGGTTCCACCAATAGCTCAGATACAGACAAAAGCATAAATTGGATTTTTTAGTATAAAGAATTCCTTCTGATACTTAGTGTTCTGGCATCTGCATGAGTGTTTCTGGCCTCAAATTATAAACCAGATTCCAATATGACATCCTACCAAGTCAACTACAATTTTCAGACCTTTTCTGATTGCTTCTGATTCAGAAATAGTATCCATTAATAATGATTTTTGCTCATTTATAATGCTTGAGAGGATGTTAATTTATTTGAATCTAATGTATTTTTAATCGGCTAGAACAAATTTTTCATTAACTCTACATATACTCTGTAAGCCCACCCTTTAAACATGGGTCTAAGTTTGGTGAAGATTCAATTAACAGTTGCCCAGATATTTTGAGGGGCTTACGTTTGGAGTTTTATTTCTTCTTTAAAATTAAATCCTTTGGGTAATAGTGATCATTAACTTCTTGGTCCTCCCCATTTGGTTTCCAAAGACACTCACAAATAATGAATATTTTAATTGACCCCATAGCATGATATTAGATCAGCTCTGGGAATAATGGTAGTTAATCAATTACTGTCAAAAAGACTAAGTAGAAAAAGCAAAATTATATTCAATCTGAGTCTTAGAGTAATGCTGTTACTCTAGGTTAATTTAAAATAAGCTAGATTTGGTCTCCAGATATTCAATAAAGGCCCTGCACGTGGTTTATCCTCTGAAAAGTTTATGCTATTGATGACAATAAGATTGCAAAAAGATGGAGAAGACACTAACAGAGGTGAACATTAACAAGAATAGCAATTATTTGTTTTGTTTTGTTTTGAGGATTAAACCCAGGGGCATTTAACCACTGAGCCACATCCCCTGCCCTTTTTTCTTGCTAAATTACTTAGGGTCTCACTAAGTTGCTGAGTCTGCTTTGAACTCATGATCCTCAGCCTTCTGAGCCACTGGGATTCCAGACATGCACCACCACAGCCAGCTAGCAATTAATTGCTGTGGTTAACAGGATATAATAGTCAATGTGAGATAGAAAAACAAGATAGATGTGCATATACCTTGCATAATATACTGAAGTTTGAAAGCATCAATATTAGCTATATTTTTAAAGTGAGGAACAGAAAGTGTAGGTAAAAGGGATGAAGAAAGTTAAAATTACTTCCTTATATAAATTTTAAAAAATTTTAATTGACACATCCTTGTAGAAAATTTTGGTGAAAGTACACAGAAATCTGTCTGTGTGATTTTATAGAAGATTCTCATTTCCCAGAATTTGAGAACCATTTAACATCTATCACTTCCAATGTTTCAACTAATAGATCAAGATAAAAAATATTGCATTCTTGACAGAGCATCTATAATGGTTCATAATTTTTGTTGTCATTGTTGTTTGTCTTATTTTTATAGTGCTGCAGACAGAACTCATGCTAGCCAAGTGCTCAACCACTGAGCTATACCCCCCGCCAAGTTTCTCAGTCTCTTCAGTTGCTTCTGGCTTATGCAGTTTATCTGAATCATACCCAGTTAACATATTCCTGAGTGAAGGAAGGAGGGAAATACATACCTGTGCATGCCTGCTCTCAGGGAGGCAGAGTAACGCCAGTCAGGATTGGGCTGTCGTGGCTGCAAAATCACAAAGGGAGTTTTCTGTTAAAACGGCAAAACAATTATTTTCCCAGGGTTGCTCTTAGTTGATTCGCTGTTCCCTTAAATATTTTCAGATAGCTAAACAAAAATATTGAAAGAATCATTTCATGTACAACTCTAGGATGATATCCCTATATAGAACACTTCAGGAGAAAATTAAATTAGCTCACAGATTGAATGTCATAAAAAACCACATTTAGTAACGTTATGAGGGCTAGCTTTGGCTTTACCTTGCCAATAAAGGTCTGTGATCCTAAAACACAAAGGGAAAGGGAGTCTGCCTTCAGACAGGAAAATCTTTCATTGCTTTTGCCCTCAAAGGCCCCATTAGGGGCATATCCTCAATTTGGAATTCTAGCTATCGCCGTGCTCACAACTATACAAGTTCTGCTGGCCTGGCTGAACTGCAGAGGACTGTAATCTGCTGCTGGATTTGCAGACTGCAGCATGTTTGACCCAGGATGGATGTGCCCAGTCATAATACCAGCAACTGATAAGAGCCAATTCTACTGACTAAAGACGAATACTAGAGAGAGAAAAACAAACCATGGCAGAGTTTGATCTTGTTTTGTTACCTAATCCTATTCATAAAACTGTACTTGTTCCCTGCTTTTCTCTGAGTGCCTTACCTCCTCACTCAATTACTTTGCTTAACAGGGAGTAGCTGAAATCTGAAAAGACCCTCACTCATTCTGCACCACATGTACAATGGGATTTCCCCACCTCCGTCTACAATCTGTCAAAGTGGAGGGGACAAAGAAGAAGATATGGGCACCTGATGACTGCTGGTTAGAAGCTACTCAGAATCACTGGGGACAAAATCAATCACTATTTTAAATCAATTAACCCATATTTTACTATGAAAAACTTGTGATGCACACTTCTCTAGATGTTTTCTTCATGAACAGAAATTAAAGTGGCTCTGTCACTGAATATTGAAGTCTAGTCAAATAGAAATATGAGAGAATGGAGGTTGTATTTTGTATTTTCTTTGAGTTATAATTAACACATTTGGTAGACAAAAACCAAATAGTCTGTATACTATTTCAAAGTATCGATAATTCTTGTTCCTTTCCTTCTTACAATTAAGGGATGAAAAATATTTCCTAAACATACTTCTTCATAACACCCAGAGGAGAAGTGATGAGCATCTTAACCATCCAACAGATTTGGGACTGGCTAGATTGAGGTGTTCAAAGATTGAGCCGAAGTCAAGGTCCAGAAAAAGTTACAACTCTGGGATACTTTATCTCAAAGGTCCCCACATAATCAGCCTCCCTCTCTGATCCTATTCTACTCTGCTGGTAAGATATGAATATGCAGATGGCTTTATTTTTGGTTTTTAAGTTCATAAAATGCTAGGGATAGTCCATATAAAATAGCATACAACTATCTACAGACCCAATGAAAGGTGCTCTGATCTTTTACCAGTAATGTTAGAAGCAACAATTTTTATAGTGCTGCAGACAAAACCCAGGGCCTTGATGCATGCTAGGCAAGTGCTCTACCTCTGAGCTATACCCCCAGACACTTCAGTTGCTTCCAGCTTATGCAGTTTATCTGAATCATACCCAGTTAACATTACTCCTGAGTAAAGGAAGAGGAGGGAAATTCAGACCTGTGCATGCCTGCAGACCATTTATAAACATAAAAATATGACTGAAATACTTTTTATTAATTATCATCACCATATTCCCCCTTGACATTGGGAGCACTAGAGTTAGCTTTTCAGCTGACAGAACCTTCCTTCAAGAAAGATTTTGACATCTGTTAAGTAAATGTTGCCAACTTTTTTTTTTCATGATTGGCTAACATTCATGATGAAAACTGCTGCAACTTGATCTTTGGAATGAAATCACCAACCTCATTTTGCTGAAAGGCACAGTTCTACCAGGATTGAATGGGAACTGAGTTCATTACACAATCTCACTTCCTCAATGATACATTTAATTTGTCATGCTGCTTGCTATTTTCTACAATAGTTCTTTGGCAACAACATGTTTCTCAGATTCATTTGTGAGAATCATAGTTATGAGATTTCCTATGGCAGTAAGATCAGACAGGGAAAAGGCAAAGAGAAAGAAATTAATATGTTTTAAGTAGCCATTTGCTACTAGACAATAAAATAAGCATTGCATATATTATTGTATGTATCCTAATTCTTTGTCAGACCATAAATTCTGTGAAAGCAGTTTACTCACATGACATATGAGTGTCCTCAGATATTAAAAAATCCATAGCTATATCCCCAGAACCTAGTAGGGTTCTGGAATCTGGTAGGTTTTTAAAATATTTTAAGAAAATGAACTATCATGCAAGGTCAACATTATCATATTTTTGCTACAAAAATGAAAAAAAATCAAAGCTTTAGAGAGATTAAATTGTTTGCTTGACTGGTGATGAATTTGGCTAACAGTCATGTTTAGGTTCCTCTAACACAAAAGTCTGTGTTTTAAATAAATTTATGTGGAATGACATATATTTTTCTTTTTTCCTCCTTTTTATTTCCAAGTTTCCTCAATAGTGATTTATTTTTTAAAAAATACAAAATTAAAAGTAATAATTGTTTCTTCCAGAATTTTTAATTAAATTCTAGAAAAATTCAGGTTGAAAAGTTGACTACTAATATATCTGACACAAGATATATATTAAGGCCTTGCACTAACCATTCTTTAGTTCTGGGATGTACTTGATTTCCATTGGTAAGGAACTCCAGTATTTACTATTGTTTTAGTCTTATAGTAGAACAATATTCACAAAACCCCAGATGTGGAAAAACTCAATCAAGTAGTTCATGTGGATGAAGCAGCATCTTGAAGAACAAGAACTCACTTGAGTTTCTATCAGAATTATATTAATTAATATATCCTGCAATAGTATTATATATGATTTATATAATAGAATATTTGAGTACAGAAGAATTAATCACTTCTTCTAAGACATATTTAAAGCAAAACAGGCTAAAACACCCTATTTTATTCATTAACTCAATATACTCAGTGAAATAATGTTAACTTTTTACCACAGAAATCTACGTTGATACCTTCAAAATATTTCTCTCTCAGACCTGAGACTACATACAATATCTCCTTTTCCTTCTTAATAGGACTCTATTCAGAACATATCCACAATATTTTTCATAGTGATATTTTGTGAACATTGATAAAAACTGAGACAGAATTCTAAGATCCTCCCAGGACCTCACATCTGATGTACCAAATAACAAGACTGTGATTGTGGTGGATCTTAGACCCTTGATTGTGTTACATAATGTGGCTTGGTTGTCTTTAAGAAAGGGAGATCATCCAGGTAGACTAACCTAGTCACATGAGTTCTTTAAATCTGAGTTCAGAGATCAAAGGCAGAAATCAGAGAGATTTGAATAAAGTATGAGAGGGATTCCATGTGAGAGAAAATTCTCCATCGCCAATTCTGAAGATAGCCATGGGACAAGACCTGAGAACAACTTCTGGAAGCTGAAAGTGACCCCCCAGCAAATAGTGGATCTCAGTCCCTAAAGAATTGAGTTCTGCCAACAATCTGAATGACCTAAATTTCTCCCCCGAACCTCCAAAACAGTATACAGCTCTTCAGCCCAGCCAACATGTTGATTTCAGAGTTGTGAAAACTTGAGCAGAGAACTCAACCACATGGTACTGGGTTGTGAGATACTAAATTAGTAGTTTAACTACTAATTCCTGGCAATTTGTTGCAAAACAGTAAAAAAGGAGTACATTAAGTCAAAAAGAAATATAATATTTCATCTAATCGTTACTATATTACCTCCTGATGTTCTAGTAAGTCAAAATGATAAGATGATAAATTTGAGAATTCTGGGTGGAATACTTTGCTTTGAACATAGTCATTTACAACCCTAAACCACAGAGCCAGGAAAATAAAATAAACATGACTTTAAAACATACCTAATAGGTTTCAGTACAACAGAAAGTGCTAGGCCTGCTTAATTCTGGATGCAGGGCCTGCTAGCGTAGAAGCTGCTCCCTCACTCAGAGCAGTATACCTCCCTGGAGCCCAGAGTTCTGATCCTGCATGACCAGAAAGGAATTAAAATCTCTCTTCACCTGTGCAATGTCAGATATTTCCTTACATAGGTCAAGTTCAAACTCTTAGAAAAAAAAAAAAGCTTAAATAACTTTTAGATTAGTAGATTTAAAACACTACTAAGGAATCCTCTTAAACTTATGACTATAGATTATAATACTCAAAATATTATCATATTAAGGGGCAGACACATGAGGTTTAGGGAAAAATTCTAAAAACTAGGTCCATTGTGCTGACCCCCACATGCTTTCACTTTTAAAAAAGCAATTTACCGGCAGTCCTGACTGGCTCAGGCGGACAGGATATGTTACATTTCTCAACAAACAAACTGTTATCTTGCAGGAGAAGCGTAGGCCCCAAAATGTCAATAAGAATACAAGATACCCTGAAAGGGGAGACTTTTGTAACATACACAAACCAGATCCCAGAACTCAGGGAAATAAGATTAATTCCCCCTCACCATAAAATCTATAAGAACAGGTTCCAATTAGAACTGGTCAACATGGGCCAAAGTCACCTAGCATTGACATCGCAGTGGGGACTTCAAAATCTGATGTCATCATACTGTCAGTCAAAAGTCAAGAGGCGAACCTGGGTAGGACTCTCTGGAAATTTCCTTGGGATCCCAATAAAACTGAAGGACAGGAGAGGCGTGCCATCCCTCTCCACTCTGAGGGAATCCACTCTACCTTGAGAGTGTCCCCTGTCCCCTTTTCTATTCCTTCTAATAAACTCATGCCTATAACTCTGAAACATGTCTAAAATCTTTCTAACTTGATCATAAGAATTTGGGCTTAAAAGGGAGTCTCTGCATTGCCTCAGTTTCCCAGCAGACCGCAACTCTGTAACAATATGAATCAGCTAAATTTATGTTCATATCATAAATCACACAGAAACATTGATCCAGGTGAAGT